CGCCGCCCCATGGCCCACGCGGCCGCGCACGCTGCTCGCAGGCAGACCGCGGCCCTCCGCGGCCACAAGCCCCGCGGGACTTCCGCCCCGAGTCCGAGGCCCCCGCTGAGGCGGGCCCGGTCCTTTCGGGGCCGCCGGGGGATTTGCCCAAAGCTCCAACACGTGACGTCCCGGAAAACGAGCGCAGGGAAAATGAAGTCCGCCATAGCGGGAAAGCGGCTGTAACGATAACCCCAAAAGCGTTTCCACGCCAAGCATGCCGCATCCCACCGAGGCTCAGGCAGCTCTGTGGACTGCCTAAGACTGACGCGTGCGCACAGCGGCGCGGGGCCACGCAGGCGGAGCTCAGGCGGCCCGGCGAGGATGAGGGGGCGGGGCCCGGCCACCTGGGCGTGCAGGGGTGGGCGTGGCCGCCGGGGGCCGGGCGGGGTCCCGGGTCCCAGCTCCCAGGCGGTGTGTGGGCGGGGCTCCGCCTGCGGACTTGCGTGCTGATAGGTGAAACGGTGCCCGTACTCGGGCGTGGGGGCGGGGCTCCGCTGCGGACTTGCGTGCTGATAGGTGAATCGGTGCCCGTACACGGGCGCAGGCGGAGGGCGGGGCTCCGGCCTCAGCTAGCTGCGCTAGGCGAGCGCGCCGGGTCTGCAGCTTGGGCGTCGCCGCTCGCTCCCGCCAGAAGCGGGTCCTGGTGTAGTTGCGAGTTCGGTTGGGCGTCTCGGGAGGGTGTGTGGCTTTGCCGCACGTGGTTCTTGCGGTCGCCCCTCCCACTCTTGGGCGCTGCAATATATATGCATCGTCTGGGCATGGAACGTTTTATCGGGCTGCAGCAATGGAGTCCGTGGAGCTGCTGGACGCGCTGGCTTACCTGATGTGCCTTCTGGGCTGCAAGGCCTTCTTGTGGATACGGTGGTACGGATCGCCCTACGGCCGCTACTCGTCTCAATATTCCGGCCCCTGTGTGCCCGTGCGCGCCGCCTGGGTCTTGCAGGAGCTGCCCTCGCTGGCCTGGCCGCTGCTGGAGTGTGCCTGCGCGTCCGCCGTGCGCCTCGACCGCCTTCCCAACCGCGTGCTGCTGGCCATGTTCCTCGTCCACTACATATACAGGTCGGCTTGCCTGCCCTGCTGTCCTGGGTGCCGGTTAGGCAGCTGGAATTAGGTGAGGTAGTCAGGAAAGGGAGGGCGGTGGGGCGGATAGCTGGTGTGACCGTGGGAAAGTTAGTTGTGCGCCAATGCTGGCATTTATTTTCGTGAATGAGGGCAACTGCTCATAACTCCATCATAGGGGGACAGACATTGATTGCCTGTCACCCTGGCCATTGTGTGACCCTTCTTCTCTGTTGTTTCCCCCGGGCCCCTGCGCCTGTTTGTAGGTGCTTTAATCTGCTGAGCTATTTGGCTGGCCCGAAGGGCACACTTCTGAGACCTGTTAAGCTCTGTCCTCCTTCAGCTTAGGGGTGTGGAGGTCAAGATTTACGGACGGAGCTGTGTTCCTGATCTGAGTGGGTTACCCCGGGAAAGCTGCCTGTTCTAGGGACTTTTATAGAATAAAACCATGCAATGAGGTGGATCTAAAGGGGAGAACATGGGAACTCGCTTAGGAGGACACGAGGTGCGACAGAACTATGGCCAACCAACACGCTTACAAGCACCATTGCTCAGGTAAAATTGATTAAATCCAGGACCAAATAGGGAAGGGAGTCATGTAGCAAGCGGGCATGAATGTAGAGCAGGAGTTTATGGAGTAGCTGGTAGTGTCTGGATTAGCTTCCTGGAAGCCATTCTTCCTGGCTTCCTCAAGGTGTTGGTCAATCCTGGGTGCTTATCTTCAGGAAAGTAAACACTTGATTGATCTTTTTGGTCTGTGGGTCTGGCCCACAGCAGCAGCGTCCATCTCTCAGTTGCAAAGTCGCTTGCCTTCCGTGCTGTCTCTTTGGAGGACCTGGCCCTTTCTGACTGCCTGTACCATTTCTATCTAATTCCGCTGCCTACAACATTGTAACCTGTTATTAGTCAGCGCAGTGTGGTCCCCTCTTGTGGCCTTCTTGCTGGCGTGACTGAGCTTGGTGGGGCTTGGCTTGTTTCCTTTTTCAGTACTTGACAATGCAAACCCAAACCTCACTGTGTGATCTTGGGTAACTTAGAACTGGTCCTGCTGGGACTCCCCCCGCTGAACTATCACAGGGCAATTCTGTGAATGACATTTCTGGTGCTGGCACACCTGAGCACCCTTCCTCCTTGCCCTGCACGCACGCGCACCCTAGAGTCATATACAGAGAGAGTGCAGGATATCTCTCTACGCACTGAAGACCTAAAGAATCCAGCTGAGGGCCTGGATCCCACAACAGTGTCCAGCATGAGTCCAGCTAAAGACCCAGAGCCCACAACAGTGCCTCCCACAAGTCCTGCTAGAGACCTAAATTCCACAACAGTGTCTCACTGGGCTTGTTTCATGGATCTGCACCAGGAAAGTCCAAAGGTTAGTGGAAGCTAGAAAGTTGGTGCCAGTGAGATGATAGCTCTATGCCAGCAGGCAGAGGGATCTGCGTTGGAGCAAAGAAACAGAACTCCCCCAAAAAACTGGCACACTGTGCCAACCTCCAGCGCCAACAAAAAAAGTCATGCAGTGGGAAGCAAGGAGCTCCTCACAGGGCTGTGTGTGAATAGGTCAGCATCCAAGTGAGACCCGGGGCTGCTGCCTGAGAACTGCTGGCACTAAAGCCCCGATTCCCAGACCAGTAACTGTAAACGCTGCTCCAGGAGGACTTGCTGGGACAGGTGTGCTTTCTAATATATATGATAGTTTCTAACAGATATTTTGTAAAGCTGTATATGTGAATGTGCACAAAGCTCGTGTGGTTAGGATACATTTAGGCTTTCCAAATGCAAAGAGAAAACATTTTCCATTCTGTCTAAGCAATTTACTTATTCAACAGTCATTTGACCTGAAGCAAGTAGTGCTTGGATCAGAGTCAGGAATGACATGGTCCTTCGTGTTGGTGAGTGGCTAACCAACAGGTCCAGCTGCCTATGCCCAGGGCTATGAGGACAGCAAGAGTCCCTGTGAGATGTCAGGAGATGCTGGCCAGGCCTCAGGCTGGTGCTTACAGAGCCTGCAGAGCTTGGCAGGTGTGCCCAGTGCAGAGCAGGGGGAGACCCAGGGGCTGTCCTGTGCAGGGTGCTGAGACCCACGTCCAGGGGCTGCCCATGGACAGGGCGGCTGCTGCAGAATGACCACTCACCCAGAGCAAGTGACAGTGCCAGGATGGATGAAGAGGGAGGGCAGGTAAAGGAGGTATAGAGTGGTGGCCTCCTGTGCATTTTTATATCCCAGTGAGTGAGTACCAAGGATGCTCTCGAGATGGGCCTGCCATGCCCTGCAGCAGTCAGAAGTGGAAGCCAGCTTGCAGGAAACCTGTGGAAGGAAGGGTGGCCTGCCAATGGAGGAGGGGATGGCCGTGATCAGTGATGAAGAGCCAGCCTCGTTGCTCCTGCAGGTTACCCTGGGGAAGGCAGCATCTTTAATCTGGGACCTGTGGCATGGGTAGTATAAGTCCTTGGCAGTTTCAGGGACATGTGCATTGTGTCTGTGCTGAAGTGTCCCCCTTCCCTCCTGCTGACTTCTTGAGGTCAGAAGGGCCTCTGGCATCCAAGTGAGACCCGGGGCTGCTGCCTGAGAACTGCTGGCACTAAAGGGAGGATACTCTGCATGGTATCCTAACCTACCATGTGCTCCTTCTTGCAATGCCAGGACCTCCTGGCTTGTCACTGGCTACCTGCCGCAGGTGTGTCCTCAGGGCGGGCTTCTGCATTCTCTCCACCTCTGGCTCCCTCTGCTCTCTGAATTGCCCAGCTCTGGGCTTTGTGCAAGCGGCGATGCTCCCTGCCCTGGCGCGCTGTGTTTGTCCTCCAAGCCGACCATCCCCTGCTCCCCCACCTCTGTTCTGTCTCCAGGACTCCCTCCTAGGCTGGCACCTTAGTCCGGCTGTCACCAGTTCTGCTCTCTGCTGGCCTGTCTTACACTTTCTACTTCTTATCCCCTGCACTCCCTGTGAAGCATGCTTAGTGGGATAACATCAGATACCTGCCGTGGGGACCTGTTGTCACAGCACCAGCTCGACACTGACACTGCTGTGCTGTTGCAGTCTCTGCTCTACTTTTCTCCAGCCGGGCAGGCTTGTGTGGCGTTCACCGGGGCAGCCGCCTTGGCCGCATTGCCCACCCTACCCCTGGCTCAGTCCTAGATTAGTGTAAGGGAAGCCTTGTCACGGGCCAGTAGCACAGTCTCACGGTGCTTGAGTGTGAAGTGCTGCCTGCCAGGGTGCCAGGGGGAGACCTTGAATGGCCTGAAGCATTCTGGCACTCCCATGCCCCCAGAGGCTGCTCCTCCTAAACTGTCCCCAGGATGGCACTCCTCCAGAGCCATGGGTAGCATGTTCTTCATTTCACCCTGTCCTGGTGACCAGAGATCAAAGAATCTCACCTAGTTGTGCTTGATGGCACATAGTTTTCCTCCCAGCACTTCGGGAGGCTGAGGCCAGAAGAATGGGGGTTTTAAGTCTTAGCAAGATGCTTAAAACTGTGGAAGGGGCTGGAGACGGAGCTTAGTGTGAAGCCCGGGGTTTCATCCCTCGTACCACCAAAGCAGGCAGACCTCATCAACTTCTGATTGCTTCCTGCAGAGGTCTCTTAGGGGAGCCTGGCGGAGACAGCAGGTGAGCATGTACGATGCTGGCGACCTTGAGGCATTCGTACCGCTCGAGAGTGACAGCCCTCGAGCCATACAGGGGCAGGCAAGGCCCACCTAGGGCGGTGCGAAGGGCCCCGTCCTTGGTGGGCACGCTCAGCTCCCGTGGAGAGTGACACGGATCTGCCTGATTCTGTTCTTCTGGATTCCCTGTGCTTCCTGGGCACTTGCATTTTCCTGGGATTCAGAAACTCCCACAAATATTCCGCATGCCCGCTTTTTTTTTTATTAATGTTGCCTACTTGTCTCTGAGGCATTTCCATTCACAGTTGCAGATCTTCATCCAAGAAATGTAATTTCTCATCTAATTTGCTCATCCTGGCTGTTACGAACGTATTAGGTACCCAGATGTAAGACATTAGGGGCTGTTGGTAGATTGAGATTGAGATTCGTGCTCATCATAGAAAACTAGCAACGTCATATAGAGGAATGCTGTGGAATATTATACGGAGGGAATAAAAATTACCTTCAGTTGTATCACTTAGAACACTGATGGTGGTCTTTTCTCCATCTCTTTCACTGTTCTTGAGACGTTTTGATGACTTTTGTCTGAGCAGTAATGATACAGAGAAAGAGAAGATTCGAAGTTGTATAAACTGCGGTTGGCACACAGCAGCAGCATAGGCCATTTCTCACTTAACACAAGCAGTTCACAGAAGTTACCTGGGCCTGCTGTTTGAGAGGCTGCACCCTGCCCCTTCTCGCTTGCTGGTCTCCCTGTGTGGAAGGGGACACCTAGGGATGTCGCCTTCTAGCCCCGCTGCTGCAGGGCTACATGGTCCTTGTCCACACCACTAAATTCCTTTGAGCCTGATCTAGAAAATCTTGATAACAAGTAACTTTTGCAGTGTTTTGAAAGAGACATTTAGTGTAGGGATAGGAAGTATGAGAAACACTTCCGCCAGGCACCATCGGAGGTAGTTCTATGTTGAAGCTTGTAAACTCAATAGCCTGGAGACCAGCAGCAGCTTGTGCCAACCAGCACAGCATCAAGAACTTTTGCCTTCTTTTTTAAAATTTTTATTTATTTATTGGGTGCAGGGTCTTGCTACGCAGCTTGGACTTGTAGTGATCCTCCTGTCTCAGCCTCCCCAGCGCTGGGATTACAGGTGTGTACCATCACGCCCAGTTTTGGTGGCTGGCACAGCAAAGGGTACCAAGGATCGAACCCAGATCCTTGTGCTTGCCAAGCAGGCGCTTAGATTGCCAAGCTGTCACCCAGCTCAAGAACTTCTGGTTTCTTGAAACTTTTGGCTAAGCTCTATCACCAAATACGCTCTAAATTTCTCGCAGCCTTGGGGACACAAAGGTTGGCAATTTATATGAAGAATACAAACAACAACAAATACGAGTCATTTCTTTACATGGAAAGAAGAGCAAATAACACAAGACAATTGTAAGATAACAAAGTATCGATCTTGCTCTGAGAATTAGATTAGTTAGCCAGTGGACTCTGTGTCTTCCAGGATCCAGCTGGTTTGTATCCGTCACTGTGAGTTGCCTTAGTAGGGTCCTTGTTGGTCCAAGTGGGCGTGGTGGCGTGATCCTGTCTTTCTAGCACTCCTGGAGGCTGAGACGGGAGAATCCCAGGCTCATGCCCAGCTTTGGCATCTAGCACTTAGAGAGACCCTGTCTCAGAATAAAAGGTGTGGGGGCTGAGGATCTGTGTGAGGACAAGGCTCAGTGTGAAGACCCTCAGTTCATTCTCAGTACCACGGAGAAAAAGATATACTTCTCCAGCTGCAGAGATTGCAGCCTGTGATCTGCTGTGCTCTCCCCTGGGCAGGCGGAAGTGGTTGCCCACAGTTCTCTGTAGACAGTGATTATGACAGTGAGTGAGACGTGGACAAAAGGGGCCGTGGACACCACTGTCGTGATGGCAAAGGCCTCGGCTGTGTGGGCCCCAGTGAGCAAGATGAGACCTCTGGGGAGAGAACCAGGGCTGTTACCACACCATTGCTGGGACTGCAAGTAATTAGACTAGATGGCAACACAGAAAAAATAATAAGATACTTAGTTTTTCATGGTCTATTAACAGATATAAAGCATATATACAAAATACATAATGAAGTTTAAAAAATCACTGGAAAAGTCCCTGCAGCTTCCCTCCGCACCCTCGCCACACACACTTAGAACACACCGATCCCGTCCCTTTCACCACTTTCTGGATCAGCTCTGGAATCCTCTTTCCTGAATGTCTAGCCATGCTGTCCTGGCTGCCTCGGTGTCCTGAATAGTTCAGAGCCTTTAACTTTCTTGATCATTTTGGAGGTTTTTTTTTTAAATGTATCTGGTACAGGGTCTGAGGGTGCAGCTCGGCCTCAGAGTGATCCTTCTGTTTATAGCTTCCCCAGCACTGGGATTATAGGTGTGCTCCACCATGCCCGGTCTTGGTGGCCGGCACAGCGCACCCTGGGCCGGGGCTGGCACGGTACCGGAAGTCCAGTCCCAGTCCCTGCACTTGGCTACGCAGGCACTTACCCGCTGAGCTATCTCCCTGGCCCATAGTTTGAGGAAGAGCCCACAGGGCATGGTAGCAGATCCTGTGGCTCGAGATGCACCATAACTCGTTTGCGAGCTGTCCTTCTGTGCGTGGCATTCCGTAGTGGTGTGCACTCACTGCATTTTTTTTTTTTTATCACGCTTCATAAAGACATTCTGGAGAAACCCTTCAGAGCTGCTTCAGAAAGTGCTGAGGATGGCGGGGTAAATGTGTTTGAAGCCAGTGGGAGGCCTTTGAAGGAGATTCTTTGTGATTTATTTTTTACTGTCATAATTTTTTTTTAAATTTTATTTGTGTGTGTGTGTGTGTGTGTGTGTGGCCAGCTGCCCACCAGGGGGCGCGGCTGGCTGGCATGTGGTGCTGGGGGATTGAACCGCGGTCCCTGTGCTTTGCTAGGCTTGTTCTGAGTAGGTGCTTTAGACCACTGAGCCATCTCACCAGCCCTACTGTCATAATTCTTAAAATTTAACACCATATTTTTATGTCATACCTTGTAACATACAAAAGTATTCCACTTATTTCAAGTCTATAGTTTGATGGATTTTGGTGACAGCCTGTCATTGGATGGCCGTCACCCACATTAAGATATTAGTCACATCCATTAAAAGCTGCCCTGTATTTTTGCAGCCACTCTCTGCCCTGATTATGGTTCTAGATTTGACATCTGAGCAGTTTCAGCTGCAAGATAGGAGCCAGCCAGCACTGTGCCCCTCCAGCTGCGCCCTGCCTCTCTGCAGTTCATTTCTTTCTATGGGTCTGCTTTTGCCTTTTCTAGGATTTCATAAGCCTCAATGAAATTCTTTCACTGAAGAAGCAGAACTGAAGTTCGTTTCTTCTCGAGTCATGACTGTTTCTCCACGTCTTTCAAAGGCTTTGCCTGTGTCTGCAGGTTGCCCAATTTCTTGGCACAAAGAGTTTATTCTAGGTCCTTGCAGCCTCTAAAGGTCTGCAAGATTTCTATAGCCATGTCCCCTCTCTCCATGGCCTATACACTGATATTACAGAGAACATATACACCCAGCATGACCTTACATCGCCCCTTTTCCCTGTGCCTAGTGTGTAGCCCTTGCCTTCTTACTTAACCCTCTGGACGGGGGTGGGCTGAGCTAGTGTGGTGTCACAGAAGAGATGATCTCTTGGATTGGGACAGATTTGGCCTGAACTGAGCCTCTCTCGGCCCCATCTCCTGCTGCAAATTATTGAGCCGCTCCAGTCTTCAGTAAATGCCTGGTGGCTGGCAGGTGTGGCTGTTGATGGGTGGTGTGCCGGTGTGGGCCGAGTCCTGCTGTCCAGAGAATAGAGCCGCTCAGTGATTACTGGTCTCGGAAGCTCTGAGAGCCTCCTGAGGCCTCTAGTTTTCTTCACGTTGATGTCTCTGTTTTGCGCTTGTACAGCTAGAGTCTTTGAGTTTGGGTGCTGTGATACACATTATTGAAACGTGGCCAGTTGATCTCAAATTCCTTTTAGTGACCGAGGGTGACATTTATACATGGCAACAAGCCTAAGAACCAAAGACATGTAAGACAGAATTGCAGAGGTTCATTTTTTATTTATTTATTTTTTCAAAGATTCATTCTTGACCTCCTTCTGAATTTTACTTCCTTCCTGTTTCCTAAGGACCCTGATTTTCCCCTTTGTGATCCGAGGAGGAAAGCCGACGCCACTGTTCACCTGTGTGACAGCCTTCCTGTTCTGTCTCTATAACGGCTATTTGCAGAGCAGGTACCTGAGCCATTACGCCGTGTACGCAGAGGACTGGGTGACCCAGCCCTGCTTTCTAGCTGGTAAGTGTCCTACTGCAGTCACTGCCGTGCCCCAGGGATTCTAGCCAGAATACCCAGGACCTGCAACGTGAACACCCCACAGGACAGAGCAGCCAGGGGAAGGCCGAGGCTGTCCCCATGTGGCCCGGGGGCTGGGAAGATGTGTTTAAGGGATACACAGGTGCTGCTGTCACTTAGAGCCTGGGCCTTGTGGGAAGCCCCAGCCAAGAAACTGAGGCTCCCATGGAGGAGACCTGGTTTCTGTTTACCTTGTAATCTAAGATGGTCCTCTGGCCTCTCAGTGTCCTCTGTAAATGCTATACAATACCTTCTAACAGTGTAGGCTGCCTTTTATGATTGTGCTACACTTGAATTAACTTTGAGGCTTGTGAAGGTTTTTAACTTGAAAAAAAATTGATTCCAATTAGTAAAATTAATGCATGCCTTCCGGTTCTTGTAGCATTGGAAGTTTTGAATAGAAGTGAAAATAAACCATTTGCTGTCGAAATAATCTCAAGATTATTAAAAAAGCTTCATGTATGAGTCAGTTTTTCCATTGCTGGAAAAAAATGCCTGATGTACAAAACTGAAAAGAGAAAAGGCTTAATGTAACTTACGGTTTCAGAGGTTTTGGTCCGTGGTCTGGAAGGCAGGAGTGGCATGGCAGAGTGGCATGGCGGGGAGCGGGGGGAGCACAGCCCAGCTTGTGGAGGCCAGAAAGCAGGCAGGGAGAGAAGAGAAAGAGGAGGGAACAGGGACAGGTGCACCCTTGCAGGTCTCCCTCCTGGTAATGCTCTTCCCCTCCGCCCCCATGTCCTACATTGAGGGCCAGTGAGACTTCGGGGGACATTTCCTAGTTAAGCTGTGACAGTCGGGTGCTATGCAGAAGGAGGTGTTTGTCTAGCATGCCTTCTCACACTTAGCAGTGACCGCACAAACATGCCACTTACCCCGATGGCAGTATAGCAAGAGTCATGACTCCGTCAACCCTCAGACTTAATTTTAAACTGCATAACATGCCCTGCATTATATTTACAAGTCAGTTCAGAGGCGGCCTTGTGCAGGATCAGGATTGCTGGGCACTCTCCCCAGCCCTCATTTCTACTTTTGTTAGGGCTTGTCAGAAGTGACAGTATTTTATAACAAGATTTTTAGGTCCCTCCAAATGGATTAAATATTCCATCCTAGATGCACACCATAACTCTTCATCTTTCATGCATGCATGACAGCCCTTCTTTCTAATTTGCATTATTTACTTAAGTTTATTTATTTATTTTTTTTCTTTTTTTCTTTTTTCTGGTAGTAGGGATTGAACTCAGGATCTTGCGCTCACCAGGCAGGCGCTTATGCCACTGAGCTATCTCCCCAGCCCTCGTATCTACTTTTGTTAGGGCTTGTCAGAAGTGACGGTATTTTATAACAAGATTTTTAGGTCCCTACAAATGGATTAAATATTCCATCCTAGATGCACACCTACCTGACAAGGGGAGCTTGTCTCCCAGAAGAGATACAGAGTAAGCATAGATCTTAGACAGCATAATTCTTTGTAGAATCTTGGACTGGAAGCCGTATCACACCAAGGTGTGGCATACTAAAACCCAAAGTGGGTCATGAGTCTGTTGTAGACTTACAAATCCAGTAAATGACTTGCAGAAGGTTTTATACCATTTAGTATAAACTGCTTAAGAAAGAAAGGTACTTATAGTAGCAGAATCTAAGGCAAGAAATCTTAAGACACTCTCTATATAGACCATGAGGATTTCCTTGTTCTGTTCTGTGTCAGAGGAGTCCATTTCAGTGGGAGAAATGATAGTCCAAATGTCAACCAAGCACACATTTCTTCAATATCAAATGAAAGACGGTTTGCCTTTTACACTCTCTAATGCATCAGCAAGCCAAATCTCCCTCTTTTTAAAAGCGAGAGCTGCTACACTTCTCAGATGAACAAGTACAGATGGCAAATAAATATACAAAAGTGTTCAACATCGCTGGTCATTCAAGAGACGCAAATTAATGCAACGCTGAGAATCCGTCTCACTCTAGAAGAAAAGGTTATCAAGAAATCAACCATTAGCAAGTGCCGGTAGTGTTGCATGGTTTAGGACCAGGCCAGACAGAGGCACTTGGGAAGGCAGACAGCTTTATTACGCTAATGAACTGGATGGAGAACATCAAGGGCCAAATCACTAGCCTTGTTCTGAGGTCACTAACTGCTTATGTAAGATTTCAGAGAAATACAAAAGGCAGATAGCATTGCATTCTATAGTTGGTTACATATGCCTTTGTCATTTATTGCTAGGCAGAATTTACTTACTCTTACAGGAACTAATAAGGTTATGATAGAACGTGGGGGGGAGAGTCAGTTGTTGTCTGAGGCCAGGCAGAGGTGTCGTTGAGTAATAACTCTCTGGAACAAAAGTAAGAAAAACACCACCTGGCGAAGCTGCACTTACCTTTCATCTGGTTCCAGGAACGCCAGAGCCCCTTCAGTTTTGTAAAACTCTCACTACGAGAATCAGCTGTGTTTTCTAGTCTCATCCTTGAACAGCATTAGAAACATACTAGTGTAAAAATACAGCCTTCGCATTTTCATTACATTGAAAGTAGCCTGGACGGCAGGGCTGTGGGGCAAACAGAACCTTTCTCCACTGCTGGCTGGAGGATAGACTGGTGCGTCCCGTGTGGTGATTCCTCAGACAACTAGAGCCGGAGGTCTCTTCTGACCCAGCTAGTTCCCTTCTTGGTATCTTCCTGAAAGAATTCAAAGCATCATTCCACAGTGACGTCTACACACCCATGTTCACAGCAGCACAGTTTGTAATAGCTCAATCTTGGAAACAGCTCAAGTGGCTATGAGCCAGTGAATGAACAAAGAGGTGGAGATGTGTTTATACAAGGGAGTACTACTCAGCCGAAAAGAAGGATACACTTGAGCCATTTCTAGGTAATTGGATGTAGCTGGAGACCATAATCTTTAAGTGAAATGAAATGGGCACAGTATAAATCTCCCATTGTTTCTCTGGTGCGAAAAACTGAAAGTGTAGGGGCTGGATATGTAGCTCAGTGACATGGTGCCTGCCTGGGAAGCACAGTGCTCTGAGTTTGATTCCCGGTAACAAGAAAAATAAGAAACTAAAAGTATAATTAAGGACCGAAATGGATGATAGATCCTAGGAAATGGAAAAAAATATTCAAATGGAAGGGGCACAAGGGAGGGGTGAGAAGGATAGGCAGGAAGGGGTTACGGTTTGAGCAGATGTTCTCCCCAAAGCCTTACACGGTCACAGGGCTTTTTCAGAGATGGCTAAATCTATAGAGTGTGCAAGTCTGGGATTAAAGAGTGTGTGACTGATAAATCAGGCCACTGATTGATGTGGCAGTTATTTGAGGGCTCCACCCACCCTGGGGCAGGTGGCCTGTATACAGTATGAGGGACAGAAAGAGGCTTGTCCTTGTTGCTTTTGGCGTCTTCCACTGCCATGTACTAGCCAGCCTGGGATCCAGCCGAGTATGAACTGAAACCTCCACAGACTCCCATTAACTTTGGGTGTCAGGCATTTTGTCTCAGCAGTGAGAGAAAAGTAAGTGATACAGAAGGGAAAAGAAAAAAAAAAATGGAAATAAACTGTACTGATATAAAAAAATGAATAATTCAGTACTGCTTTGTAGAACATTCTGTCATTTTACCTTGTCTTGTTGGTGTTAAATGATATAATACTGAGATGCTCCCTTTAAGGGATGCAAACCCCTGGACATCTTTATCTTTGTCTTTTTTTTTTTTTTTTTAAGGAAGGAAAGGTTATTTAGTTCACAGTTACTAGAGGCTTCAGTCCATATTCAGCTGGCCCCAAGGCAGAGCAGCGCAGGGCAGTGCATTGTATTGCAGATCACCTGCAAGGGCAGGTGCAGCATCCACACCCACAATAATCAATCACAAACTCCAGAAGCCGCCCAAGGACTGCAGGAGGTTTTGGGAGGACAGCTAGACACGAACCGTAACATTCCATCCCTGGGTGCCCAAACTCTTGCACATCCATTATGCAAAAGGCATTTTAGTCCATCTGTCCGAGTTGCTAAAGACCTGCAGTTTCATCATCGCTGAAAGTCCGAGTCCCAAGTCTCCAGGATCCAAGGTACAAACCAGGGGACTACAAAGCATTGGGACCGAGACAAGGCCAAAATCCAAAAGGACAAACATTGAGTCCTATAAGTCCATGGGGGACGTCTGAAGCAGTCGGTGGCAAATGGTGAGCTCCATGTGGCTCTGCCCCTGTGGCCTTCTCGTGGTTGTAGCTCCCACAGCTTTTCTCTTAGGCCAGCTTTGCTCCCCCCTCCCAGTTTCCCTTAGATGGTCCACATTCCTGGCTTTCCCACACTGCTGGGATCTCCACTGAACAGGCTTTTTACAGCTTCATCCATTGCCCTCTTAGGGGCACACTGCCTGGCCTTCCAGGCTTTCTTCTTCTTTTTTTTGAATTGGGATTGAACTCAGACCCTTGTGCTTGCAAGGGAAGTGCTTATTCCACTGAGCCATCTCCCCAGCCCTACAGGCTTTCTTCTCCAATCAAGGTGGAAGCCTTCTCAAGGTGGAAGCCTTCTTAACCTCAGAACTCCTACATTCTACGAGCGCCCAAAACCAACACCACGTGGATGATAGCACAGTCTGCTGCCAGCTGGAGCAGCAACCAGGCCTCCTCCTCTCTTGGCTGTAAAGCTTTAGTGCCTGGATCGCTGAGCACCCTAACCCTGATTCAGAGAAGTAAATTCTCCATGCCGGCGCCCTTCTGGAACCTGGTGAGATGGCTACCACCATTCTGAAACATGGGGCTCTGTGGCTTTCCCCTCAAGGCAAAGTCCTTTACCTTTGCAATGCTGAGGCTGCCAAGGGCAGAGAGCTGCCACCTGTGAGGTCCCCGGACCATCCTTTGAGTTCTCTGGTTCCTTCCCGGCAATGGAGATCCTCTCAGCTCCATCTTTGCAGTGCACGGCTTTATTGGCGCTTCCTTTCTGGCCAAACTCACATTTTAAGTCCTCCAGCTGGGCTCTTTGCTCTTGATTTTCAACATAAATCTGGCTAAAAGCCCCCAACAACAGCCATGCCACTCCCTCCATATTTGGCTGCTTTGAAATTTCTTTTGAAAGATTAATCAGTCCACCATGCTTACACTCACTCTCGGGAAAAGTCTCCGCAAACAAAGTTTCTGCCAAACCAGAACACAAATCATCCGGGTCCAACAACCAATGCAGTCCTTCTTCCCAGCAGAAACTTCCCCAGCCTGGTCTTTACCTGCAGGCTACCAGTCTTCTGAGCTGTGACCAGAATGTCCCCTACACAACAGCTGAAGGCGTTCTAGCTCTTCACTAGTAGGTGACCTCTTCAAACTTTTCTTATCTCTTCTCCTAAGCTGTTCCGAAAAACTTTTAATCCACATGGTCAGGTTTAGTCACAGCAACAACCCCACTTCTCTGGTACCAAATTCTGTCTGTTACTCTTCCCTCATCACTGGGACAAATACCTGACACCCAAAATGAAGGAAGGAAAGGTTTATTTAGTCACAGTAACTGGAGGTTTCAGTCCATACTGAGCTGGTTCTAAGGCAGAGCAGCACATGGCCCCCTGGACGTTTAAGGAGTGGGGAGAAAACCCGGCCGTGTCGGAGGAGGAGGAGGAGGCATTGTAGCTGAGGAGGCCCACACGAGTGACCCAGGGGTGCGGCAGGATGACCTGGCAGCAACTAAGCTGCAGCAAAGCCAGGGACGGTATGGCAGTGAATGTGGCAAAGGAAGTTGTAAGGAAAGGAGAGAAGAGGGTCCGACCTGGCCACCCAGGAACGTGGGCCGCCCCTTCAGGGGCCCCGCGGGTGACAGTCCGCAGGGTGATCCTTTCCCTTGCCCCCATCTGGCGGACGCTGCCTTGTGTAGTTTCTGTAGGGAGTGTTCTCGGGTATACCTGTGGGCCGCTCCTGCAGCACAGCGCACCTGTGTCTAACGCTTCGGGGCATGTCTGATCCTAGATACGGATGTCTACTTGATGAGCATCACCAGATAGCACAGCCGTGAGCGTCACACCACTGATGGTGCCCAGGCGGGTGGGCGGGGCCTCCTGCAGCTGCAGCTGATACACAGCGTGAATGAGGGCAGCTGAGAGGATTTGGGGACCTGTTCAGTCCACGTGGATTCTCGGGTCCGGCGGCTCTTCATTGCCACAATAATCTTGTCTCTTTGTCTCTTAGGCTTTGCCTTGTGGTTAACGGGCATGCTGGTAAACATCCACTCAGATCACATCTTGAGGAATCTCCGAAAACCAGGGGAGAGCAACTACAAAATACCAAGAGGTGCGTCCTGAGGGGGGCTCACTCTCACAGTCTCCCTGCATTTGCTACCTGCTCAGCCTTGATGGTGCCCGTAGCTCACAGCCAGGCTTCAGTAGCTACGAGTCTGCACTGAGTCACCTCTGTGATTGTTTTCTTTGTAGAGAAACAAAAGAACTGAGTCTGGCTAAGGAGATGGGTATAAAGCACAAAAGAAAGGCTGCGCTTGGAGGCAAAATGCGAAGGAGCTCATTTTACTGGAGCTTGATGCCCGTACTTCTGAAACACAGATCAAATGACTCAAGATAGACCTTAAAATGCTGGGTGAATTTTTTTTTTTTTTTTAATTTTTATATTTTTAGTACAGGGTCTACAGTGTTTCATTACGTAGATCAGACTCCTAGTGATCCTTCTGTTTTCAGCCTCCCAAGCACTGGGATTATAGGCGGGCGCCACCATGCCTGGTCTCATTGCTGTCTCAGCGCACCCCAGGGGCGAGGATCAAACCCTGGTCCCTGTGCTCTGCCTAAGCAGATGCTTTAGTCCGTTGAGCTATCTGCCTGGCCCATGCTGGGTATATTTTTAAAGCCTTTTAAAATGCACCAATCTAATGTCAAGAAAGGAAGTAAGGATCGAATCTTTGTAAGTGCCACCATCCAGAAAGCCCTGAGCGAGGACGTGTCGTGCGTGGCCACTCTGTGTAACTGGAAGTCCCAGCCCAGGGTGGTCTGAAAATCCATGATATCTGGGTTAACGCCAGGTTGTCCCCAGTGGGAGTGGGGGTGCAAGCATGGGCCCAGGCAGCCAGAGCCCCAGTCCCGAGAGACGCTTATAAGGAGATTTTCACCATGAGGAAAAATCCAGGATTTCAGATCTTCTGACAACAAAAACAAACAGATGATCCCATTAAACTATGGCCCAGAGAGCCAGCAGTCTAGGAGGACCCACCTCCAGGAGTCCCCGCCTGCAGATATGGTGAAGCATGCCGACCTTGGTGGGATCCCAGGTGGGCTGCTGGTGGCCCTGCCTGGCAGCGGGAAGAGGTGCCCTCCCCCAGGTGTGAGCCAGGCTGCAGCCTCTGTGGCTTCCTTTGGAGAGAACCAAGTGCCCCTCACCCCTGCCCAGGGCCGTCTGCTTAGGTCCATGCGCAGTGCTACTCCCTGGAAGCTGCTACTGTGAGCCACAGGAGACAGAGCAGGGCAGGAGCCCTGGATGGCAGAAGGAGGACATGCTGAAAGAGCCCAAAACCACACTAGTGGAAGACTGGTGCAACAGTCATGGGAGAGGAAAGCATCCCTGGAGAAGCAGGTCCCCGGCGAGGCCCCGAGCTGCCCTGTACGGCTACTCGCTGACTGCACGGCAGCAAAGTCGCCCTTGATGTCTGGCCTTTTCCCTCTGCCTCTTCTGCTCTGCGTTCCAACTTGATGTGTTCAACCTGAGGGACAAGAAAGAGATTTTCCCTGAGTTCAATCCCCGGTTCCACAAAAAAAAAAAAAAGATTTTCACCACATCATTGCAGCACACTGTGGAGGGAGACACAGTGCAGCAAAACCTGTCTGGACAGAAGGGCATTTCACGAAGCAGGGAAAGGTTGAAGCCAGAGTTTCCCGCACGATTTCCCATGTGCATGGAGCGACGATGGTGTGGATGCCCTGAAACACCAGCAGGCAGTGCCTCCACGCTGAGCTCGCTGCTGTGGGCCCCCCACACCGGCAGTGCCTGCCCCTGCTGTCCCCAGCTGTCCCTGGCCGAGGGCACATCCACAGCACCTCTGGGCACAGACCACATGGTGACGCAGAGATGGGACTGTGCTTACAGCGGAAGGCATGGCCAGATGATAGAATAAGACAAGCCGGAACCCATACGACTTAGGGGAAAAACTGCTGCTAAAATTCATTCTGACCCTTAAATGACATGACACACAGAGAACAAGGCAAAAGCCAGGTGCCACAGAAAAGACATAGAAGAAGGAAAGAGTGAGCCCTAAGATTTTTTTCAGTGAGAGCTGCCAAGGGCAGGGAAGGGGGTCTGCCATCAGCATGTGGGAGCTGAGAAGAAATCCAGGGCTCTAGGGAATAGTGCAGGTTTCAAGAAGGAGTGCAAGCACACTCTGTGAAACCAGCTAAGATGCAAGTCCAGTTTTGGAAGGTGCAGACGCTATACCAGTGGGGGTGAACCTGTAGCACATGTGCCACCATAGGCTGTTATTGAAAGTGCTGAAAGGTTGGCCATCACTATGTAGCACGCAAGTCCTCTGGGCTGAGGGTCACCGGAGGGAGGTGGTCAGATTCTAGAGGTAGCCACAAGGCATGGGAGGGTGGAAGCCTGCACGTTGTCCTGGTCCTGTCATCCCATAGCTGTAGCCAGCGTCTTTGAAGACTCCAAAGCCCAGATATGTGGTCTCAGTACTCCACTAGGTGGTCTTTCGAGTGGATCACCTACCTCCCTGCTCAGAGTGGGTCTTTTCTGTGGGATATGCTGTGTTTTCCAACACATAGTCATTTCCTTGAAGCCCTGCTGTGTGCTGTTTTTCAGGAGTCTTGGCCAGAGACTCCTGAAAAACAGTGAACACATTGGGGTGTCACTGGTCATGGCCAAAGGATGAAGTTACAAAACCTATAGGTGGAGTTACAGATGGGTTCAGAGACAAAGAGACCCATTGGAAGCATATAAATCCAGATAAGGCATCTGCATGGGGTGGAGGACCAAGTTCTGTGGGCTGTGTATCACATTCACTGTTTTGTAATGTAAAGTTTTTAAGCCCCACGTGTGTCCTTCAGCAGGTTGACAGCTGAGTTTCTTGTTACTCACCTGCCCCCAGCCAGATACTTCATGCTAGACCCTTGGGGACAGATCCCTGATTTCCGCCTTCACTCCAGCTCTGGCCCTGCAGTGACATTGCCTTTTGTAAGAGGGTGTTGATGTCTCCCTCCTTGGGGACCTGGCTGCCCAGATCTTAAGGTACAATAAAAGAAAAAAACAAGACAAAAATACTCAAGATGATAGTGACAGAATTATGTAGGAAATTGGGGTGGCTACAGAAATAGTAAAAAGGGTGACTGCCCTAAAGTCGCAGCTAGGAGGGAACATGGTCTGTGTTTGGCCTCCGCCCCTGAGGGTGCTTCCAGTGACACACGTGCTGCACGCGTTTCATACGAATGGTGTTACGCTTGGGATGTTCTGAGCTGTACTCCGGCATTGGTTAGGTCAAGATTTCACGAGGCACGGCTGCGCAGTGAATGCCCTGTGTTGCTCTGTTTTTGTCTAGGAGGCTTGTTTGAATACGTAACCGCAGCCAACTACCTCGGGGAGTCTGTGGAGTGGTTTGGCTTTGCACTGGCCAGCTGGTCTCTCCAAGGGGCGGCCTTTGCTCTCTTCACGTTTTGTGTTCTACTCTCTAGAGCAATGCATCATCACCGGTAAGTTTTAAAACTTTTTGTTCACTGGTTCTTTGACCTTAGGATAAAAGACATTCAGCTTAGCTATTCTGAAATGCTGAGATTCATTTGATTACCCAGTGCCAGGGTCGGGCTTGCTATGCCCAAGCAAGACCCAACACTGAGCAACCTCCCAAGGCCCAGGTCTGCAGTGCGTCTGGCTGTGTGGAGCCATCCACACAGCAACGGTTGTTTCCTCCACCGTGTTTATTCCTAGAATTCCTGATTAAGCTTGGCACCAAGCAGAGGATTTGGAGACTTCAAGTAGAAGCAGCAATTAAAAGCAAAGATGCCAGCGAAGCACAGTAGCGCACACCTAGAATGCTAGTGTTAGAGGAGGGTGATACATGAGGATGCAAGTTCAAGCCCAGCCAGGGTCACTTCGAATTCAGTAACTGTCTCAAAACAAAACAAACAAAAGACTGCTCAAGGTGAAGGCTGTGGGTTCAGTGTGTTACTGCAAAACATCTGAGAATGCTGATAGAATTAGCAAGACCATGAAGGCTACAGTGAGCAGAAGTAGGGAAATCCTCGAGCTGGAGATTGCCCTGCACCGTTGCTGTCAGCAGGCCATCAAATCATGCCTAAGCTATGGGCGTGCAGCCAGGTGTGTCAACATCCTGCCCACAGAGTTTTGGGGCAAAGGACAAAGAAAGGGCTTCAGGGCAACTAGATGGATGTCATGGCAGAGTGGGAAAAGTAGATGTCCTCTTTGCTTCTTTGTGCACGGAGAGATCTGGAGATCTTTGCTTGGAGGTGGAGCAGGGCAAGGCCTGACTGCTGGGTCTCTGGCAGATACCTACAACATGGACGCAGGTGCAAGGGGCAGGCAGGTGCCCTTCCTCTCTTTCAGATGCCCAGGTGCTGGGGGGCTCCGTATCTTCACTTGTAGATCAGGAGAAAGAGATGTTTGAGGTTTCAGAAAGCATTTGCAGGCCTGACAGTGTCTGGGGACATGGACCATAAAGAGCTACCGCCTATGAAGGGCTGAATTGCGTCACCAGTGGCAAAGGTCACTGTTCTGTCCCTGTGCCTGTGCATGCGCCCTGTTGGGAGTAGGATTGCTGCAGGTGTGGTGGGTAGGGTGTGGCCGAGCCGCATTGGGCAGCCTGACCCTGCACTCAGGGAGCCTCCGTGCGAGGGGAGAGCTCCATCTAAGTGTGTTCTGCAGAGGAGAATGCCTCGCAGGAGGCAGAGACTGTAGGACCAGGGCTCACCAAGGAAGGACACTTGCCCAGGGCAGCAGTCAGGGATCTGCTTGCGCGCTTGCTTCTAGGAGAGAGTCCGTCGCTGCTCTCAGAAGCCACTGGTTTTTGGTGCTTTGGCCCAGTGGATACAGGAAACCAGTGCACCAGACTTCCTGCCTGTCAAACTGACAGAACCTTGGGAAAATAAACAGGGAGTCTGATCCTCAAAGGCTTCAGATTTCTCCTTTGCTAGGTGAATTGCACCTTACCTTAGTAGTTTAATATCAAATGCTGATAATATACTTTGGCGATAATGCTAATTGTGCTTAAGCATCTTTGGACATGAATGGAACAAAGCAGGGCTTATGTCCCAGCCCCTGTGGGAGAGCCTGCTAATTGTCTCCAAGGAGGAGTCCATGTCCTGATCTCTGCCCTTCCCCTCTGAGCCTGTCACCAGCCCACTTGGCCAGGGCCCAGGGGTCTGAGCTTTTCCCTGAGGCTGTCAACACCTTCAAGAAAGGTGTTTATCTTCACATTTGCAGAATTTCATATGGAAAAGCAAATAATGGCCTGTTTTTAATAACAGAAGCCAATGATAGGGCCAACAAAATAGCTCAGTGGATTAAAGCTCCTGCTTAGGCAGACTCAGGGGCTGGGAGTTCTGATCCTCAGACCTGCCCTGCCGGGCCCCACTGAGCCAGCAAATGAGACTGGGCGTGGTGGCGCGTGCCTGTAACCCCAGCACTTGGGAGGCTGCAAACAGGAGGATCACTACAAATCCGATTTAGTAATGAGACCCTGCACACCCTGTAGACCCTTCCCTAAAATACAAAAAGAAAAAAAAGCCAACAAAATAGCATTGATACTTTGGAGGAAGACATGAGCCTGCCAAGTGTTGTCAAGATGTTTTCTCAAAGGAAAACAAGGAATAGGAAAATCCCTCTAAACATTTCAATGTGAGATGTACACAAGTGGAAAAGACAGAATTCTGTTCCCCATGTCCATGTTCCCAAAAGCCAGGATCTGTTTCTCTGAACGCTGTGGTCTCATGGTGCATCTGCTTTTCTACAAATGACTCCAATTTATCCTTGTTGATAGTAGAGTCCTACTCCACTGAATAACTTCCACAGAAACCCAGCTAACTAGACTAGCAGTAAATGGATTCCAAAAGAAAGAACATTACTTGGTACTGTTCCTTTCACTGTGTTTATTGCAGTGCCCTACAGACAATGCTTTATGTCAAGGAAATTCTGTAACAAGTGTCATTTAAGTTTATAATTGACTGCGTTCTTAGTTAACCTTGGGCATGTTAGAAGGGCAGCTCTGGGTTGCTGACACGTTCCCTGCTGAGGGCCAGAGTTGTTCTGATTTTTTTTTGCTTTGAAAATCTACTGATTTTTTTTTTAAACTAATTTTATTGAGAAACAAATAGCAATGAGACAGTTTCAAAACCAATTAGTAGGACAGTTTCAATAATTAATACATTGCCTATTGTTGTCTTCATAGTGATTATTCATAGTACAAGATGCAGACATGATATCCTGTCAAACACTGTTAGTACAAATCTTTCTTATTGAATTAAGAGAAGGCAGCTGTATATCTATCCTATTTTGTATATAAAATACAAAATATTTGTATTTTATACAAATACAAATGTATTTGTATCCCCTTTGTATCCCCTTTTTTTGTATCCTTTGTATCCCCTTTTTTTGTTTAGTTTTGTCAGAGATGGTTATTCCATTGTCATTTAAATACTGTAGGTGTGTGAATTCAGCAAAATAATCCAATATAGTCTAGTAGTCCATAATAGTAGTGGATTATCTGTAGGACTGGCAATGTCAGAAGATGTTGACTTGAGCCTTTTAGAGCTCAGCATATTAATATGGCTTTACTTTTTATACCTCATTTTTATACTTTTCTGCTGGATGGTTAAGCCCAAAATAAAGCAAGACCTGTATAATAAGAAATGTAACTTTTGTATCTGACAAGGTCAGTCAAATCCCCTCAGGATTTATCCTGAAACCCTGTACCACAGATTATAGAACCTTTGTCAGTGTCAGCCATGTGGATGAGTCATGGCCATTGCTTGGCCAATTTGCTCTCTGTGAAAGCCTGAGAGAGTGTTTTCTCTCCATGTGACTCTCCTTAGGCACACTCTACATCATCGATCACTTTCCTCTGTGGCCCCATAATCTCCTTGATCAGAAAATTTGGGACACCACTGAGTTACATGATGTTACAGTACAGGTTCTCTTATAGACTGAGTCCTCACTGAACTTGAAAGGCTAGAGCCAAAATGTTGGTGGTCTTTGCAGCCCTTCTTTTTCTCTTACTTTTGGTCTGCAAACTTAAGTTTGTTAACTCCGAGGGCCAAAGTTGTAGGACTTCTAAACTGGAAGGAGGTCTTCTTCCCCAAGTTGGCCCTGGACTGTACTAACATTGCAGCAAGGTGTGCCGCCGTGGACTTGGGCCAAGTCGTCTGCTGTCCAGTCCTCCAGGTAAAAATTGAAGATGGTCATGTAGGAGCTCTGAGGAAACGAAGATAGAATTCACCTGTTCAGTGTTGTTCAGAAGAGCCCAGTGCATCTGCAAGACACAGTTATTGATGGCGTCATGGGGGAAGATGCTTCGTGAGGCCCACAGCACCCCTCTCCCAGGCCACTCATCAGGCTGGCATGCAGGAGGCGGGATTTCTGAAGAACCACACAAAGCACGTGCTCCGTCCTTTGGTGCCGTCAAAGGCCACTGAAGGAAGACTCGTGTTATCCTAAACTGCTTGGGAATCACAGGAACAGGGACTGGAACTGCTTTCCAGAATAACTCAAAGGATTGTCTCAAAGTCAGCATCATCTGACACAGCACAGGGGCTTTCCTCCAACAGGTGAGGGAGAGTGAAGAATCAGAACAAGGCAAACCCCTGTAGTCTGCCCTCTTTACAGCTGTAGGCAGCTTCAGCTCTAGGTACAGGAAGATAATAGCCCCCAAGCTGTTTCCCCTTTTAAAATGTAATATATGCCTTAAAACAACAGTTCTTGAGGTGGGTTTGTGACTTCAGTGATAGAGAAAAATTTTACCATTTACCATTTTATTCCCATAGAATCGTCTCTGTGAGATGAGTTTTTATCTCTGTGTCTTGCAGATGCACTCTTCTCCCATGCAGCTGTGCACGTGCACGCACTTGGTAATTGAGCTGGAGGAGTTGGCGTGCATGCGTGCCATATATTAATTCCTTTTGCTGCACCCCCCAACTCTTAGCACTGGTGGAAGACTTGTGCTTGCCGTTTTCTGTTATCTTTCACTTTGCTCTTTAATTCGTTTATACTTTGGGTTTCTCTTGTAAGAGCAAGCATGCAGTCTTTAAGCTTGGGTGGGACTTGGTTCTCTGAGCGTTATAGTGTGGACGCATCCACCTTCCTCCCAGTGGCTCAAGCCTGTGCCTCTGTGTGACAGAACGTGGCTCCGTTGCAGGTAAACACATTTTCTTCCCCCATGAGCATATAGACTTCCCAAGGGTAGCTAGCCTCCGTTATGCTGCCACACAGGGCCACGCAGGTATCACTGTAATAAATGCCTTTAACATTTTTTTTTGGCCGGCACAGCCCACCCTGAGGGCAGGGCTGGTGCCTGGGATTGAACCGTGGTCCCAGGAGCTTTAGCTCGCTGAACTGTAGTGCTGGCCCCTGCCTTTAACTCTTTTGGGGAGTTACCTAGAATGGGAATAACAGGTTCTGTGAAAGAAACGATCTGTCTGGCACACATTCATCTCCTGAGGAGGCCATTCCGACAGCGTGAATGCCCGTTCCCACCTCCAGTGGAGCCTCCGGCCGAGCACTGTGGGAGGCTCGCGCTGTGCTTTAGTCTTGCACCAAGGCTGCTGCAGAGGCACTGGCCTCCTGTCCCTGAGACTTTGACGGCGGCTGCATCCTAAGCAGCCTGCAGAGGCAAGCAGAAGCTCACAGTGCACAGGTCGTGGCACCCCTGCACATGCCTGGCCACCGTCACACGGCAGTGGGCACCCGGATCTCGTGGGCCATCGCTGGCTACCGCTGGCCAAGGGAGGTGACACTTGATCCTGAAACCCTGACCGACTTGGGAAACTGCTCTTCTCCCATGCCTTGCGGGGCCCTCAGGCCAGCGTGGGCAGAGCTCAGCGGACTGGTTGGCGCGTGAGAACCAGGTGTTGGAGCCCAACGTGGCAGGGCTGTGCCAGTTGCCTTCCGCTTCGGCCATGCTGACACATAGCTGGCTGCTTCCTATTACCATCTCTCATCTGGTTAGTGATTGTGGTTTTGACTTTTTCTTTTTTTAATGCACTTAGTACAGGGTCTAAATATGTAGATCAGATTTGTAGCGCTTCTGTTTTCAACGTCCCGAGCGCTGGGATTACAGGCTTGCGCCGCCACTCCCAGTCTCAATCGCCCTCTCAACGTGCCCCAGGGGCGGGGCTGGCACAGCATGCTGGTGATCAAACCCCAGCTTTTTTTTTTCTTTTTTTTTTTCTTTCGCTAGCTCAGGCTGCGCAAGGGTGGCTCAGGTGTGGCTTGTGGAGCTGGGGACCGAACTGTAGTCCCCTGCACCTGACTTGTGTTTGTCCAAGCAGGCATTTTAAACAACTGAGCCAACCCGCAAGCCCCCTTCTCCTCCTCCTTTTTTTTCATAGCAGCATGTTTAAGGAAATCTTTTCAGGAAAAATATTACATAAGACAGTAATTTCAAAGGTTATTGTATCTACACAAAAATTCAACTTGCCGAATTTGCAGATTACTATCCTGAGCAGACAGAGAATTGCATGTCTTTATTTATTTGTTTATTTGTTATTTATTTATTTATTTTTGCAGAACCAGGGATTGAACTCAGGCCCCTGCGCTTGCCAAGGAAGCACTTATTCCACTGAGTCATCTCCCTGGCCCCGCATGTCTATTTTTAAAAAATAATTTTATTGAGAAACAAATAGCAATGAGACAGTTTCAAAACTGATTAGCAGGACAGGTTCAATAATTAATACATTGTGGGCTGGTGAGAAGGCTCAGTGGTCTAAAGCACCTATTTAGAACAAGGTTAGCAAAGCACAGGGACCGC